AGTATATTATGCTTCTTTCTCAGCAACCTGGTATTTGGTAACCTTCTTCTCATTATGAAAAAGAAACTTGTTAGGAGGACTATGAAAACTATATAGCATAAGACATAAAGTATGAAAAGGCAGAATTGGTATTGAATTATAAAAAAACAAAACAAAATTTGAATAAGACTTCAAGTGAGAAGACTAAAACAATGCAGAGTTCAGTGTACAAATTCAAAAATGGATGAGATCATACCATCTTTTGTTAAAGACTTCATTTCTATTCATGTATTTACGGTTTTTTTCCCCTATGCAGTACTATACATTCTTTTTATCAGCAAAGCGCCAATAAATTAAACTTGAGCTAATTGCTTCTCTGGTCTTTGGCCACAACTTTTTTCTGTCATTAGAGCTTCTATGAGTATATAGGAGATAGAGTTTTGATCTGATACCCTACTGCATACAATTTTGCCTGAAGGGTATTATATACTAAAGTATCAAGGATTTAGAAATGACACTTCTTTGGCTATAACTTCCATTAGTATTTCAAGTCAAACTATCCCAATCACTTCATAAAAATTTCCCAATGAATTATGCTTACAAATCTATCCAGTCTCAAATTCCCAGATTTCCCTGCCAGCATGGCCAGTTAATTAAGAATGCAAAATACACGAGTGTCCTTTCTTTTGATAATCCTATCTAGCAGATTTGGTCTATAAAAAGCTGTTCATATGAATGTGTATGTCAGAGGGAAGATGCACTTTGACTCATTCAGTTTTTAGACTACAGTACAGGCTTTCTTTAAGCCAGGAACTTGTTGGCTTATTTCTAATGTCCTGAGACTGCATATGGTGAGTGTCCAAAAGACATGAGGATTTTATTTGTTCTTTCAGAAATCCTGAGGGCTTTGTTATTGCCTGTTAGAAGCAGATAAGATGGGAAGCAAATAATGACTAGGATTTTCAGTATTTTTTGTGCTGTATTTGGAGTTAGGATGTGTGTGGAATTTAAACAGAATCTTATAAATGCCCTTGGCATCAGGACTAAAGTCATAGGGAGCATCCAGCAATTTATCCTTTTATGATGACCCCCTCAATTACCATTTTTAGAAGGATATAGGAAAGCTACACTTTTGTTAAAATTGGCAGGGCAGATTTTCATATCCCACTACTTCTTCTAAAATCAAAGGAGAACCTGAGACCAGAATCATCAGATGCCTGCCCACTTGTCTACATTGTCTTTTAAGATACCGTATCCAGTTATGTTGAGACCCTCTAGTTCTGTTTTTGCTTCATTTATCCGTCAAGTTGTTTATTTTGATCACAGATATCTAGATCACAGATATGTTAGTCTTACTATAAGGTAACTAAAAGTCACAGAAATTATGTTCAAATTACCTTCTGATACTATTCAGATTCAATTTATTGAGAAATTAAAAGTTTCAAATCAACAGCAAATTTATAAAATATTCAAAACTGTTAAGAAAAGTCACTAACTTTTTCAAGCTTTAGAAATACTGTTTCCAATAAGCTGGTTTATTCCCAAACAGCAGATTTACTATATTCAATGAAGGTTTCTCCTGAATAAGGTATAGGATAGCCATCTAACAAGAATTCTCTGTAGACCAAAATTGTGGATTATGGCATTAATCTTGTTTCAGTGGAAGAAAGGTAGAGAAAATACAAATTACTGTTATGATAGGAAAAAGAAAAGCATGCTGATATTGTTTCTGTTGATTGCTAAGATTATTGTAGAACAACTTGTTTGATTTGTGCCTCCAGGTCAGTGTCAACTCTTAGTGACCACATAAATTTGAGCAACTTGTTTAAACAAATCCAAAAGATTTTCATTTTTTGGTTCAATTAATATTATTTGAATTCATCTGAAATGTCTAGGTGCAGTGAAATATCTAGGTGCAGTATAAGACCTATTATTCTTCTACAGAAATAAACATCACTATTACTTTCTTCAGTGTGATGTTTCTGAATGTTAAGGAATGAACAACATGGGAAGGAGAATAATATTCTTTTACATTATATGGGAAAAGCATTACTTTTTTCTGAGAGTACTTTTTGAGGAATATTTTAAATAAAGATTATATAGACAATAGTTACAAGTTGTAATTAATTGACTGTTACTTATTTAGGGCCCTTAAAGAATCACAATTGACTTGACCTACAATAAAACTACAATTTACTGTATGGCCCAAATATGGGAAGAAGAAATAGCATGTATCAACTACAGAATACTGGAGTGTGTTGCAAAGATGTTTGTCATTACAGTAGTATTTGAGCTGATATGGTGACTGCTGTCTATATAGATACCTATGAGTGGTATGATTTTTGAAACTATTGAACATCAAGAATCAGAGAATTAATTATAAGAATCTTGAAGCATAAATTTTGTCTTAAGGAATTTTTTACAATGTTGTCAAAAGTCTTCACAAATTTTGTTAGAAGCTTATCAAATGAGGCATATTTCAAGAATTAATCCACTAAAGTGTCATTCTGCAACTACTGCAAGAAAATTAAGAGAAGTGAAAGATAATTCTTTACTAATGATCCACAAATATAAAGAACCTGGAACAAATCTCTATAGTGGATTCTAGTCTATGAACTTATCTTTATCAAAAAATGATTGCTTTTCAGAAATAAAGGAAACTTATAAATTTAGGTAATACAGTAATAAAACATAATATTTAAATCTTTATGCTTCAAATATTTACTTATTTTCTGAGGTACTCTAAGTATCTACTGAATGTTCGAGAGCAATTCGGAAATAAACCTCAGTTTGGTTATCAATGACAGACACTCGCATATACAGAACTTTTATTATATACATTAGAAAACTACATTACATTACTTTTCGACATAATCGCTATTCAAATTGAGGCACTTGTCATAAAGTCTTACAAAGTTTGAAATTCCTTAGTTGTAGTCACTCAGTGACAAATCTGGGCTATTATGGGTGTGTGTGTGTATGTGTGTGTGATCAAAAATATCCCAATGGAACTGCTTCAAGTTATTGGGTACTTCTAGCAGTGTGCGGGTGAGCATTATAGTGAACCATCACCACACCGGAAGTCAGCATGCCCCAACACTTGTTATGGATGGCTCGTCTGAGTTATAGTAATGTTTCACAATAGACTTCTGAATTGATGGTTGAACCACGTTCCATGAACTTCACTAGCAGTACTCCTTTGGCATCTTCACATTTGGCGGGATTTTCTATGGCACCACTTCTGGTGTGGTGTTGATTCACGATAATGCTCACCCGCATACTGCTAGACACACCCACGAACTTTTGAAGCAGTTCTGTTGGGATGTTTTTAATCACTCCCCCATAGATCAGATCTGGCACTGAACGACTACTATTAAGGAATTTAAAACCTTGTAAGACGTTGTAACAAGTGCCTCAATTTGAATGGCGATTATGTCAAAAAGTAATGTAATGTTGTAGTTTTCTAATGTGCATAATAAAAATTCTGTATCTGTGTCTGTCATTGATAACCAAACCGATGTTTATTTCCGAATTGCCCTTATACTTCAACTATCTATATATACATGAAGTCCTTTTAGGCACTTTACTCACCTGAAGTTATAAGAAAAGAATCTTCAGCAATCTCTATTCAGAAAACATGGAAGGAAAGATTAACTATTGTATCTACTTTAGTCTTTCTTAAACTCAACTGTTTAAAAACTGTTTTTAAGAAAAGATTTGACAAAAATACAGAATTTTAAACAAAATAGTCATTTTTTTCTAAAAAAGAAGCTTTTTTAATTTTTTTCCCTTACTTTGTTTGGTGATCACCATAACCCTGGTGTGTAGGGGTGCACAAGTTGCCACCTGGTCAGGGAGAATGTATCAGAGTTTGGTATCAGTTGGGAAAAGTGCATAGGAATGTGCAAGAGGAGCAGCACGAATCAGCGTGTGTGGGGATGCTAAACAAATCAGGAAGGTGGAGGGGGTGCATAAGAGATGCTGGGTAGATGGGGAGGGCATATGAGGTTATGGCATGGGTTGGAAAGGATATGAAGAAGCCTTCTGGCTTCTTCACTTATTTATGGGAGGCTGCCAGGGAGCATTGGAAATGAGAATCGCATGACCATGGCTGAACACAGCAGCACTGAAATAACAGCACTGCAGTGGCACAGGAGTGGCCACAATTTTCCCCAAATTCCATTCCCACAGGAGTAATGGATCACAGCATTCTGTAATTTAGTCTCTTTGATGTACCTTGGTTCAGTAATTGTTGTTTTATGAGTAACTGTTTCATCCAACTGAAGATTCCAAACAGCAGGCCCAAGAGTTTTAGTACTATATACAGTAGATCAGAGAAATTGCTATAAATAAGCAGTATCTGTTGATCTGCATTTATATTTCAGAATAAAATATAACTTTTACAGATTAAAATGACTTGACAGTGCATCCCTAATGTCTTGAGATGTTTACTATAAGAACATGTTCAGTTTTCTCACTCTTATCGTGAAAGCGTAAAGGAAGTATGTATCTTTGTGACAGTTATTTTTACATCTGTTGGCAGACAGCCGGATCTACTCTAAATTTATTTATTTATTTATTTATGAGACTTATATACCGCTTTAAGTGCAAGCACTCTCTAAGCGGTGTACACCAGTAAGCAATGTATATATATATTTACATTGCCCCCAACAATCTGGGTCCTCATTTTACCTACCCCGGAAGGATGGAAGGCTGAGTCAACCTTGTATGGCCAGAATGCAGAGTCAAACTTGCCTTCAGTATAAACAAGGCAGATTCAAATCACACTGTTTCTGTATTTGATGCAATTTTACCACATGATACAACACTCACTTAATATTTCCCTAGGTGCTCATGACAATTTTAAATAATTTATTTCCTTTTTTCAAGCAGCTCTTAGAAAATGATTTTATTCCCAATTAAAATAAAAATCATAATGACTTCCTTGTTATACCTTTTTATATAAGGTGAAAAAAAAGAGAGAGACGGGACAAGTAAAGTTCAGGACACCTTTGAGAACAGAAAGACTTATATACTGGTTAATCTGGATAGGATTTTATTGCCATGTTTAACATAAAAAGAAATTAGACGTTTTCTAAATCTGTTTAATTTTCAATGGTAAAAAGGGCTCAAGGTTCAAAGCTGGTATTGGCAATTTTATTGTCATCCAAGATAAGAAAAATATTGGGTTATGAATTTCAAGAGTCAGTCAGTAGAACTGAAACAATTGTTTTGTTATTGCAGAGAAGATACCTCCTTTGGAATCAGTAAAACTACCTGCTCTTCCAGTTTTTGGTCCCAGAAAAGAATGTAAGTATTTGAGCTATTTTGACACACCCATTTACATATGCAAACAACAGTAATTGCACTCTCCTGTTATAACAAAGTTAATTTTTATTTGTGCAGGGATTTTTTTTATAATTTTGGAAAGACAAATGTTAAGTATGCAATGAAAGGATTTTTTAAAAAATCAAACACAAAATATATAAGGAAACTATTAAAAGCATTACCTAAGCAGACGTATTAAGCTAAAAAAAAAAGGTTGTTATTCTTTTTTATTTTTAAATGTGGAGAAAACCCAAATAGGTGAATGGCAGGATGGACTACATAGTTTAAAGCAATAGGCAGTATGCATATTTGTGTTGACATGTTCCAAGCTGAAATCTGAGTTAAAGGTCAAAAACAAAGTTCCCAGACCCCAGTTGAAGAATGCTACCTTCTTTCATGTACTTTCCAACTCACAAAATCAACAAAATTTGAAACATTATAAAGTTAAATTATTAGATAAAAACATTGAATTTCCCTAACATATAGACTTTTGCAGATAAAGCCTTTGATCTTATCAACTCATATAAGCCAATAACATTGATCAAAATACAAAACAGTAAAATAAGATAAAGCATATTAAGAAAAGGATGGCTAATATTCTTTCCAAATACATTTATGAAGCAGGATTTATTAAAGACAACTTGCATATTCAATATGGAAAAATCTCACTGTAATCTGGATAAAAATCAAGAAAAGCAATGATCAATACAGACAGTTCATGAATCACAAACAATTGCTTACCTACTGTTTGAAATTACAGTGGACCTACCCACATAACATTTATGGCCATTTCCAGCATCCTGTGGTCACATGAAAATAGGTACTAAACAAGGATGCCTATTCTCCCAATCATGATTTGATATAGTTATAAATTTAATAAAGGAAAAAAAGACAAAGTTTGGATAGAAACTTTGATGTATCATCAATGTTGCCTCTGAGTGATAGCTTTTCTCCAAGAAACCTACTTTTTGTCTTCCATAGTGTACCCATCTCTGCTATTATTGAATGCAGCTATTTTGTTGCTGGTCATCCTTTTTTTTCCTCTTTTTTTTCACCTTATAGAAGTCTATCAGGGATCCAATAATCTTTGATAGATATCAAGGTATCCAATAATGTATATTGTTTCTTACTCTTTTCTCAAGCCAGTTTGAACATTTGCCATCTGCCTTTTCATTTAGGGTTCTAATTTCTGATGGATGTTCTTAAGCATTATCTTGCTAGCATGCAAAATTAAAGATATGGTACAATAGCTTGCATGCTTTGTTTTGTTTCTTTTCTCTGGTATTAGAATATACATTGATCTATTTTAATTTGCTGCTCACTGTGTCATTCTACAAATCTGCTGGCATAGTATGGTTAGAACTTTTACAAATTCTTCTTCTGTTGCTTACCATAATCCTGTAGAAATTCTCATCAATTTCTGTAAGCTTCCAACTTGGTAATGATAGCAATACTGATATAACTTCACTCTTCTGGGTAGGGAATATGTTCTAAGGAATATGAACATCCAAGAATATGTATCTTGGATGTTCGTAACTCTATAATAAAGAATTTCAAAATTTATTGATTTTTCATTTCAATTTTTATAGCTACCTATTTCTAATACATGGTTCTGGGTGGCTTACAACAACAAATAATATGAAACAAAGTAATATAAAATCATATATGCAAAACTATATAAAACCATATAATACAGTATGCAGTCAACGTATAAAAAAATAAATATAACTACTGTCTACAACACACCCAGATCCCCAAACCTAGTGGCAAAACCACCTCTTTATATCTTTATGAAAAGTCAGTAGACATGGGGCCAATCTGATCCCTGATGGGAAAGGAATTGTTCCAAAAGGCTCTCTTCCTGGGCCCTATCAGATAGTGTTTCCTAACAGATAGGACCTGGAGCATGCCTCTTCTGCAGGATCTAATGGAGGATGGAAGTATCAAACTACAGTTTATAATGCCAAACACTGAAAGAGTGGCAATTTCACAAAACAAATATTGAAGCAGTGATTCTGCAGCACATTTAGACCAAACTCTCTACTTATACAATGATTAAAATTAATTTTTTTTAAAGAATCAGGAATATGGACATGTAATTTCACTAGTTAATGGATATAAAGTGGATTATAAATATGTACAAATTAATGGGCAGAAATATAAAGAAAAGGGAAGCTACAATTCATAGCACATTATAGACTAGAGTAAATAATAATAAGAAAAGCACATATCATAGTAGTTAGTATCTGCACTTCTTTTTAAAAAACAGATATAACTAATATTTAGGAACTATATAAGATCATTTTCTTGTTCTTAGCGGGAAAGATTTAATAAAGAATAATTGTGAGCATTTTTTCCTTAATGTCACTTCTATATATGCATACTTTGGATAAAATACATATTTTGATTTGTAACGTATATGAAGTGTTTTTCTCTTTGAATTGACTTATATTGCCTTTCTTTAGGATTCAAAGTGATATACATAGCAATTCCTCTTCCACTTTTCCCAGAAACTATCACCCTATGAGGCAAAGATATTATAAAGATTTGAACCTGGATCTCCTGAACCCTAGTTCAGCATTCTAATTCACACACATCAACGAGCAGATTCAATGAACCCTGAAATGCAGCTGTACATTTTCATAACTGCTTGAAAAGAGAGTGACAAAGATACCCAACCATAGAATGCTTTCTGTGGCTCCATTTGCTCTAGATTGATGGCTATACAATATATTGAGAATCAGACCTCAATGTACCTCTGAACACCAATTGGTATAATGGTGCTACTGGGGCACTGCTCTATAATAATAACAGAAATGTATTGAATTTATATTCTGTTACATTCCCAGTGACTCTGAGCACTTTCCTTTATGGAAAAATCAGCTACAAAAAAAGCAATGCGGAATGCAGGCACTAGCGTATTCTTTACATTCTTAACTAAATTCCAATATGTTTATAAGAATACAAGGAGATTAGGTTTTTTATTTTTACAAAGCAGCTCAAAGGATGGAAGTCGGCTGTCCTGCTGAGATTTCCGCCTTCAACTAGATACCTTTTACTACATATCCTAAACACCGGCCTGCTCCAGGGAATTCAGAGAGTTGTAGTCCAACACAAAAAGAGTACTAGTTGGAAAAGGTTGTGCTAGCGCAGCGGCTCTGAGCCAGCTATTGGCACTAAGCAGAACAGCGGCCCCCTCCTTCTTATCTCTTTCCTTGCCCGAAGGAGGGAAAAGAATGTAAAAGAATCAGCCGCTGCGGTCCGCTCGCCTGATGGAAATGGGGCTCAAACAACGGTCCAGAGAGAATGGACTGCCGAGGGGGAGGCTTGTTCTTCAGAAGAGCTTGCAGGCGAACTCGAATGATGAATAACCTCCATTTGCTCACCCGCTATCTCCGGGCACTGCAGAGGATGAGCTGCACGGCTTGGTGCCCGGCTTTGGGGCAGTAAAAGTGCACTCTCTCCTTCTCCCTGTATCTCCATTTTCTTTGTGGGTACAATCTTCGCTGGCCAGAGGGAGCGCGCGCGCGGACACGTGGTGTTAAAGGCAGCCACAAGGAACGACCGGTACCTCCCTGCGGCCCGCTCTCTCGCTCTCCGGGCGAAGGGGATTAAGCTTATGGCGCCCGGAAGGAGGCGGACAATGCAGCGTCAAGGGCATAAGGAGGACCTGGCAGGATGCATGTTGAATAAAACTGTGTTGGGTGGAGCACTTATTTCACTGTTTTGTGCCTCGCTTGGTTTGAAGTTCTACGCAAGTCTCGACCTAACAAAGTCCCCGTCCTGAAAGTTCCTTTTTTTTTTTGCACGTCACTCCATTTAGCCCCGCCCATGCTGCCGGGCGGGGCTTAAACACAACGCCAGGGGAAAAAGAGGTGTTGCCAATGAAGGCAAGGGGGCGTGTCCTTATCGCCGCGTTGAGGGCGCCAGTTGGGAGGCAGTCGCGGCCGGTGGTGGTAGAAGAAGGTGGGAGGGTGCACGCGCGGACGTCTGGTTGGCCGCTTGGCCAACCGTCCGTAAGGCGAGGTCGGCGGCGGTGGAACAGGGTGGCGCGCGCGCGGAGGGGCGCCCATGGTGTGGCCTCATGTCTAAGACGCTGCGGAGGAAGCGCCACTGGCTCAGCAAGGTGCAGGAGTGCTCCGTGTCCTGGGCGAGCGGCTCCGGCCCAGACCCCGACCTCCTGCGGGGCGGCGCCGAACGGGGAGAATTCCCTTACCTCGGGGGCCGCCTGCTGACAGTGGCCGACTCCGGTGGCGGAGCTGGTTCTGTTTTGCTTTCAGGGAAGCCCCCTGCCTCCGGGGATGTACTGCTGGAGGTAAACGGGACCCCGGTGAGCGGCCTCACTCACCGCGACACCTTAGCCGTCATCCGCCACTTCAGGGAGCCGGTGCGCCTCAAGACGGTGCGACCAGGTCAGTGCGTCCGAGCGAATGGTCGTCGGAAGGAGGGGATTCTTTTTCACCCCTTTTCCTTCTCGGCGAAAGGGGTGAGAGCCAGTCCCGAAGTCACCGCCCTCGGCTCCACCCAGCGCACCTGCTTCTCTTTTATCCCCCCCCCCCCATTGTGGGTCTTTCCCGGTCTCACTGTTCATGCTTTCCAGTCCTTCTCTCGTTCTTTTTCTTGTTCTTCTTGATCGCGACTACTTCTTTCTTCTCCGCCCAGAGCACTCCTCTTTTCCACCCTTAGCACCACCCAGAGTCCTCCCCCCCTTGCTATTTTCTAACAGGGTAACGTTTTCTCTTTATCATTTCTTCCCTTTCTACTGCTTCTCTTACCTCCTTACTGCAGGACGTAGCATTTGTAAATTCTGTATTTCTCTGAAGACTAAGCTATCCTATCTTTCTGCCGTTATCTTTTATCCTTTAGGGCACCTTTCTTCCTTACTTCCAGCAACACTCCTGCCCAATTTTTCTTGGTTGTCTGTCTCATTTATATTCCTTGTCCTTTTTACAGCTCTCTCCCACCTATTGTTTTCTATTAAGGTAAATCTGACCCAACCACTGTCACCCTTTCTGGTACATCTGCTAAATCCCTTCCCTGAACAGACCTGGCCCTTCCTGTTTACTCCAATATCTATCTTCCGCTCCAGTGCTGGTGTCATTATTGAAGTGTTTCCATTTACAAGACCTGTTTTAAACCTAGAGTGATTGTTAGGCTTTGTGGCAGCCAAGGATCTTAATAGCTTTTTATGTGGTTTGTTCCATTAATGTTTGGCTATGCAATGTTAGGTATGATTATCATCCTAGTGGCTTCTTTTTTCCTCCTTTAATGGTTTAATTATCCTGTGTAGAAAATTGGCTTTTGGCAGTATAGTTAATCAAAAATATTTGACCACGAAGGCTTTCTGCTGAAACAAATAGTTAATATTTGAAATGCTAATGCTGTCTTTTCTGATTAGTTGTAGTTAGATTTTTTTTATTCCTCCAGAGTTGATAAGAAAAAAACAATTACTTTTGCATGGTAATGTATCTTTTTTTTAAAGTTTCTTTTCCAGGTATTCTCAGTTCTAGGGAGAAAGGGGGAAGGGAATAGTTGTAACTCTACTTCATGCTTGAACAAACAGGTTTTTGCATGCTGCATCTGTGGTGTAGACCCTGCAGCCCTTTTCAGTAAAATAGATTAATATTACATGGTTCATAACCTCACTTCTGATTTCTTATATTGTTGAGCTGATTTTTTAAAAAATCTGTGAGGTAATCATTTGTGATTAACCTTCTGTTTTAACCTTCCCTGTTGTTTTCATAATCTAGTGAATTCTTAGCAAATGTAGTTGTTTGTGTAGGTTATGAAAATGAAGTTTCCAGAATACCAGGGTTTATTAAAACATAATATTAAAATATCCTTGGGGATAGTTAGTGATTGAACATTATTAATAACTGTCATTTAGGTTGCCTACTTGTTATTGGAATTCACTGTTTCTTTGAATAAAATTGCACATCTGCAGAACAGTAATACAAATACTAGAGAAAAACTCAAACAGTGATTCTTCATTTCATGGTAAATTGAAGAATAAATTATGGTTAATGGATGTATTTGTTTTAAATTTCAGACAAAATCAATCTTCTTAAGTTTTAGGTTAACTTTTATCATGGATGTGTTGCTAACTGTAATTTTGTTTTAACATTCCTTCTCGCTCTAGGAAACAGTATAAATCAAATTAAATTAAACAAACTGTTGTAATCTATATAAACATTTTTTTCAGAATAAAAATGACCTATTGACCTGAAACAAATACTAAACAGGAATTTGACTTAGCAGGTTTTATATGAACATTATTCTGTGTTATAAAATTATTTTGCATTATAAAATAATGTCTAATTTTTTGCCTTATATTTTTTACATTTTCTGTATAAGTTGCAAATCTTTTTATATTGATAAGGGGTAATTAACAAAAACTAAGAATATCTAAAATAAAAACCTATGTTTACATAAAGTATAGTTGATTGTGTCTATAGGGCAGCAAACTAAATTCTCTAATTTTAATGTTTTACACTGAGTGTAACTACTCAGCTTATGCTTCTATTCTGAGATGGAAACAAAAATTAGACTTTTACTTATATATTAATAGCTTGTAAAATTAAGCATTTTGCTTTTATTGTTTTTATAAGTCTTCAGATTGACATGTGATTATTATTTTGGGGATTACAATAGTGAATGCACAATTACAGTTACTTGTAATGAAATTGAGAGCATAGTTTAAATGCAGAACAATTTATGAAACTAATAATTTTCTTTTTCTTCTAACCAGTATGACATAGTTACACTGCAAAAAAAAAGACTATATGTTCAATGCATTTAATAGTATAGTGTTCTTATTTTTTAAAGTAGCATAGTACAGTCACCATGACCAGTAGCTTTTGATTGCATTGTCCTTGTTGATTCATTAAAATTGCAGTGTCACATTTGTGGAAATGAAATGCAGAATTTAATTATGTGTGGTGTGAATATATACTTTATTTATATAAAATATTTGACTGCTCAGCTTCAGTTGGCTACTACAATCAGTCTTTGGTTCTGCTATTCTTAGGAAGGGAGAAGATTTTCTCTGATCACTTTTTCCATATCTTATGTAACTATCTACACTTCCATAATGTTCCCATTTGTTTTTCCCTTTTTTCATAGAATAATTGGTTTGACTCCCTGATAGTTTCAGTTTTGTATATTTTCTATATCTATTTTTTTTAGAATTACAGTACCAATAACAAGTATTTATATGATGACATATGATACATTTGCATAATAACATTATATTGGCTATTTTATATTTAATCCAATTCCTAATGAGTTCTCTAGTATAAAAATGTTCCCCCCAGCTGTTATATTGTTTCTGTGACTTATTTACCTCAGTGCTAAAATGTCTTTCTAAGTCAGTTATTACTAGCTCTTTAAATGTCAGCTTTTTTTAAACCTAGTGTGTAGCATTTACAGTACCTTTGCATATTGAGAGTTGTCTAGTTATTTTAATATCCCTTCTCTGTGTGGAACTTTTGGCATTTTTTTTTTTTTTTGGCTTTACCACTATAAAGAAGAATGGATATTTGTGGATGGTGTAGGTCAGAGGTCTCCAACCTTTTGGGCACCAGGGACTGATGCTGTGGAGAAAAGTTTTAGAGGGGGTGTGGTTTTGCGTACTGCCTGCATCCTGTGGATGGGGCTTTACTTGTTTGTGCAGGCAGGTTGTAGACCGATGCTGGTCCACGACTGAGGGTTGGGGACCCCTGATGTAAGTATTTTGTTCTCTGTCAGCTCTTTGAGGTAGATCAAGTGAAGAAACAAATACTAGTTGGATTCCAGGAACACTTCTTTACAGTATTATTGTAGTGAATATTAACAGAATCTTAAAAGCTTCTCCAAACCATTAACTGTTTTCTTTTAAAGACAGTAAGGTCAAGACAAAGCTGTTCTGAATCCTTTTCTTATACTTTCTATTTTTCCAGGACTAAGCATCATTTCATTTCAAGGCCAGAACTAAATTCCTCTACTTAAGGGGTCAGCAACATACTTGCCTGCACCAAAAATCGTCCAGCCTAAGGTTTCAAAAAGGAATATATTCATTATCCCCATGAGAGACAGAAGAGAGGATTCATCACCTCTTTGGCTAGTTATTTTGACAATGGCTTTACCAGTCCCCCTCTGTCCTTGGTGATAGGGAAAGCAAGCTTTGAGGTGAACAAGGAGGGGCAAATGGTGGCAGCATGGCCTCTGGTCCCTATATTAAAGAAGGTTGCCAACCCCTACTCTATATGCTTTGAATGGGATTTTAATTTTATGTTGCTAGAGGTTTATTTTGTTGTGGGAACAGAGAAGCGTATATACTTCAGTTGTAGTTGCTTGCAGAGGATTAAAGTTGGAGAAGGCAAATATAAAGTATTTACATTAGCAGAGAATATATGTGGCTCAGAGTTGAAATATAAAGTTATTGAGTTGTAGTTCTATAATAAGTATGATTGCCTAAAATTATCACCATGGCATTACCGAATAATTGGGTATCAGATAACAAGGAGCAGTAGAATTAGGAGTTGAAAATGTACCAATGGAAACTGTAGGTAATATCCCATGATGAATTAATGTAGATACAGTATTAAATAGCATAGAGACATAATAAATTCCTAGAGTTGTAATAGATCAATGGCCAAGATCTTAAACACAATATGAGCCCACCATCATAAGAAAGATTAAAACTACTCCAAAGTCAGTTTTGCCAGTCATATCAGGTAATTGAGAGGAATACCATATTTGAAGGTACAATTCAGAGATTTTTGTTAATGAAGACTACAAACCACTAATAATTCACTGTAGCATTCCCTTGTTCACCACCAGTGAGATGGTTAGACTACAGGCCTGCTTCAGGCTCTTTTCTGCATTCACTGCCATTCAATTAATTTATGAAAATAGATTTTAATTGGATAGACTGTATTTTTTTAGAATTTCTTCATTGATACATGGTTTCAGAAAATTTGAAAAATGTTGGTATTTGGCCTTCATGAAATTGAAAAGATGTAGTAGTAGTATTCTCCCATTTTGTTTCTAGTATGGTCTTGATGATCAGATCCATCCCACTTCTGTATCCCAATCAAAATAAATAAGTATTTTCCATATGTATCTGAGATTGTGAGAACATAACTTTGTTTCCTAGATAGACATTATATATATTTAAAACTGCAATAGCTATCTATTTGTGATCAGATAAGAACTTTTAAGAATAGTCTTATAGTCTCCCTTAAGCTGGAGAGGCCATACTTATTCCTTAGAGAGACATTAATGTAGCTAGTCCTCTCTTGTCCAGTTTGGTGAGACAGGAAAGGTAAGGAGCTGTTTCGCTGTGTCTGGCATCCAAGTATAAGAGACACCATGCAATGTGGGGCAAAAAAAAAAAAAAAAAAATGAAGCCTATTCTAGGCTGCTGTGATAT